CGTGCCGCCGGATCCTGCGCCGCCAGATCCCGGGAGGGGACGTGCCCGGCTGGGGGCGCAGGGTCCGGAGGCATAGGGGCTGCCCAAAGCCCGAGCGCTACCGGCTTCACGGTTTGCTGGGCAGCCTCCAGACCCTGCGCCGCCGGAGCCCGGGAGGGGAAGTGCCCGGCTGGGGGCGCAGGGTCTGGAGGCTGCCCAGCAAACCGTGAAGCCGGTAGCGCTCGGGCAGCCCGGCTCTTAAACAGAGCTGAAGAGGAGCAGAGCCTCCAGCCGCGGCAGCTCTGCTCCTCCCCGACTCTTCGGCTCTGTTTAAGAGTCAGGCTGCCCGAGCGCTACCGGCTTCAGCCAGCCCCCTTGCCTCCGGACCCCAGCCGCCAGCCGGGCACTTCCCCTCCCGGGCTCCGGCGGCGCAGGGTCTGGAGGCACAGGGGCTGCCCGAAGCCGGTAGCGCTCGGGCAGCCCGGCTCTTAAACAGAGCCGAAGAGTCAGGGAGGAGCAGAGCTGCCATTTTCCCGGACATGTTCGGCTTTTTGGCAATTCCCCCCGGACGGGGGTTTGAGTGCCGAAAAGCCGGACATGTCCGGGAAAAAGAGGACGTATGGTAACCCTACTAACCCTCCAACTTTCTGTGGAGGTTCCACAGGGCTCTATCCTTCATCTCCCTCCATACCTTAGCTCTGGGTAAACTCATTTGCAAATACAAGCTCAAATACCATCTCTACACTGAGCTCAGATTCAGCATGGCTAAAACAGGGCTCTTAATCTTCCCCACATACACTTTCTCCCCCACCTCCTTTCTCAATCACTATGGACCACATCAACATCCTGCCTGCCACTCAGGTCCATACCCTGGGCATCATCTCTGACTCAGACCTCTCTCTAGAGCCTCACACGCACGCTGTATTTAAGCCTCGCAGATTCTTTCTGCATAATATCGCTAAAATAAGATCTTTCCTATCCATCCACACAGCACAAACTCTCATCCATGATTTCACCACCTTGATTATGGCAACGTCCTTTTCTCTAGCCCTAACAAATGCAATCTTGCGCCATGCATATCCATTCATAATGCAGCTATAAAGATCATTTTCCTAGCCTCTCACTTTGACCATGCCACCCCTTTCTTCGCATCCCTCCACGGCCCCTTCTCTCGCGCATCAGATATAAGCTACTCGTCTCTGCTCTCAAGGACCCGTCCTACTTTTTCTTATTCACTGGTGAGATATTGACTCCTAACGCCAATCGGCCAATGAGGCAAGCCTCCATCAACCACTCGTTAATTTTTAAAACAAGCACCTATGTGCTCTCTCCCATGCTGCCCCTCATACTTGAGAGGAGCGCCCCATAAACATCTGCAAACTACCTCATTATCCTTCTTTAAACTTGCCTTTGCCAGAATGATTACAAAAAACTTGAAAACAGTTCCCTGCTGCACTAAGACCACAGCCTACCATGCTGACCAATATTGCTTCGTTGTTTCCTTGTATTCCCCCGTGTCTGTCTGTAGCCATCTGTTGTCTCTTGTCTTCTACTTTGACTGTAAGCTGTTTGGGGCAGGGACCATCTTTTAGTTGATTGTACAGCACCTAGTACAATGGGGTAATAAAGTTACATTTTTAAGCTGAAGCCAACCAAATTAAAATGTCACCTTACTTGAAAGGCATTTTCCCAAAGCTAGGCAACATCCTCCAAGCACTGAGTGTGAGAAACTCCCATTGATTTTAATGGGAGCTCTTCCTCAAGAGACAAACAAAGGGCATGTCTTCACTAGCAACGGCAGCGCTTTAACGTGGCTGTGTAGTCACGGCACCATCAATGGGAAAGCGCTCTCCCAGCGCTATAAAAAAAAACCCACCTCCACAAGGAGAGTAGTTCCCAGCACTGGTGCACTCTCTACACTGCCACTTTACAGCGCTGAAACTTGCAGCACTCAGGGGGTGGTGTTTCACACCACTGAGTGAGAAAGTTGCAGCACTGTGAAGTGGCAGTGTAGACAAGGTCCTAAATGTTAAGACTTTGAGCTTAAAATTTGTTGCAGGTAAAGAGGCCATTGTGATCACTAAGAACCTGACTAAAGGCTCTGTGTGGGCATAGCAGTCGATCCATGCATAAAGAATTGTGAGATCAGAGTCTAAATTAGGTGAAGGTGAAATTAAAGCTCTCTGGAAAGAAAGTCATAGAAATTTGAGTGGAACAGGGAAAAATCTAAGATCTGTAATTTGCAGTGTGATGTTAACCCATGAATTACAGTAGTTTACTTTATCACAGTAGCAAACTATAACTTCTTATATTACATTTGGTTATATTTCTTTCTTTCGTTCTAAATTGGCAGGCATATGGGATTCTGTACAAAAAAGTATTTTTGAAACCGTAAAGAATAAACATATCTAAAGCACAACTGGTCTCTTCTTTAGCAGTGGTTCAAGAGGAAAAAATATTTGCAAGGATAGCAAACAACCTTAATTGCCATAATGACAGACTTCGAGCTTTTATTTGAAGTACATCACCTCTCTCAACATCAGTTTCTGCTTTTCCACTGTATGTTTAAACCCAACTAAACAATTATGGTGTTTTAAGAGGACACTAGGTATTTCACTTTGCTATGTAAGTGTAGTGAAGCTAAGCCAAGCATTGCTGCCGTACTGTAGACGTGTACAATTCAGCTCCTTCCCTGTGCTCGTCGCCGAGTGCCGTTCCCTTCAGCTTTCCATGGGAAAGGACAAGCCGTAAGGTTTTAAATCCGTTTGAATATGAAGCAAAGGGGAAAATTTATACTATAAAATATATATATTTTTAAAAAACCCAGAGGGGCAAACCCTCGACACCTTCCCCCCGTTTTAATCAAACCCAGCGCACACCCCCTCGCCTGACATGGGGGTCACCTCCTCAGGGGGACAGGCACAGCCAGGGACCCCACCCCACGCTAGGGACCGCCCCCCAGCACAGGTGAACACCCCGCCCGGGGGCCCGGCGCTAGGGGCAGGGACATGTCCCTGGGCGAGGGGACCCAGAGGACGGGGAAGGTCTGTCCCCCCACGCGGGCCTAGGGAAGCGGGGGCCAGCGCCGGGCAGGGGCAGGGGCCACTCACCGCTCCCCTTGGCAGCCGCGGCGCCGCCCTGGCGGAGATACGGGCACAGGAAGTCCCGGGCCGCCTCCAGGTCCTGGAAGTGGCAGAAGGGGAGCAGCGAGCAGGACATGGTGCCAGCCGCAGCGCCCACCGCCCGGCCCAGCCCGGAAGTGCTCGGCGCCTTGCCCACCGGCCTGAGCAGAGCGCCGCTGTGCGCGTGCGTGGGGAGGGGGCGGGCTCGGAATACGTCACGTGATCATTGTGGTGTTGACAGTGTTTCCCTCACTCCCGCCCTTTCCAGCGAGGCTTTGGTGGTAGCAGGGCCCGTGCAGCACCATGGCGGGGAGACCCCGTACGGGGTCCCCGCCCGCCGCCCATGGGGCTGCCGCCGCCTCGGCGTCCCCTAGCTGCCTTCGTCTCCCTCCTCAGGCGCTGCAGCAGCGGCAGCTGTTCCGCCGCCTCCCGCCGGGAACTGCGTGTGTTTTTACCCCGTCAAGGGATCGCTCTGAGCCGGCTTCACACGCCCCCACCCCGCACCGGGGGTCCGAGCCCCGCCGCGTCGATCTCACCCACGCGAGGGCGAAATCCCCAGTGGAGCATCTGCCAGCGCCAGCCTCTCTCTGTTTGAAGGGGACCGCTGCGGGGGGGTCGGATCCCACTTTTTGACTTACATTTTTGGGAGGGAGAGGCATTGGCGGGGAGGGGGCAGGGCGGTGGATGGCAGTGGGGTGGTGAGGGTCCTGGTGAGGAGGGGGGCGGGGCAGTGGTGAGGAGGGGGCCGGACTGGGGTGGTGAGGGGCAATGGCGGGAGCAAGGCAGTGAGAGGTACTTCTCCCTGGGCTGGAAAGACTTTTTGGGTGAAGTTTTTTCAGCATTTCTTAAATACAGTCAGGGTCTGGATTATCGTAATCTAGTCTGGAAGTTAGTTCAATAGCCGGGAACCCTCAACTGAGAACGTTTTGTCCTCAGCTCTCTGGTGCTTCACCCTGTGTTGCCCCAGCGGAACGTAACTGTCTCCACCATTCATAGAATCATAGAATATCAGA